ACCTAGGCTTATGCTCAGCTGAGTTGCACCCCAGTTTCAAAGACACAGGCCTATAAATGCTTAAGAGAGCAAGTGTGATCCAAATCTACTCTAGGGTATAAATAATGCAGACAGAAATCCTACTCTTTCTCAGGGCATAAGACAAAGCCCTATACTTGCTTTTGTGCCCTGATCAAGGGTAACTGAAGTCTTGCTCTACATTCTACCTCTGAAGTTTGGAGGAGGGAGTAAGGACTACAATCAGCTATCAGTACACACAGATCAAGTAGCTTAGTCCTCAAGTATTTTGCCTGACAATAGTAGAATTCATGGGCCTTTGCTAAATAGCAGGTTTCAATGTGAGAAGGCCTTGAATTGTGTTGCAAGTCTAAAACCTGTACTTAATTTCCTCTCCCTCCCCCATGTAGAAGATTTCTCTTTCCTTGTTGGACTGTTTCTTGTTAAGAAAGAAGTGCCATGAGCAAATCTTTCCTTCATGCCTTCTTCAGTCTCTTTGGATTGTTATATCTAATGCAAGCAGGACAATTTCTCACCTGATGTCCTTAGCTCCTGTGAATGTTGTTAAATGCATAAATGGTATTACTTGCCCTGTCTGTGAAGAGATTGTTGAGGAGGAGCTTACCAAACCACTTTCTTGTTTCACATCCCTATTTGCTAACTGTTTCACCTATTTATATGATTTATGCTCAAAACTCAAGATACTATGCATCTTTGATAGTATGTTTCTTGATCACAGGAGGCATGTCTGCTAAACCTAGTTACTAAAGAATTTAAGCATCACATAATGCTTTGGGGTTGAATTCTAAAAGAATAACTAACAAAAAGTTAACTACTTACTCTCAGGAATGGAGAGGAGTAAAAAAGATAGCTTTTAAAAAAGACCAGTTATGTTTTGGGGTTTATAGCTTTAGTATACCATGGCATATTAGACAATATCATTACAATATACATACTAGGGACCAGTAAGCATATAATTCATCAAGCAGTGGAAAAAGCAAGTAAAACTGAAGAAACTTACAGTTGGAGGTGTTACTTACAAGAAAGCCATAAAAAGATTTTTAGAATTAGCAAACCCATGGGTAGCAAAGTGAAAACTCTGTAATATTTAATGCTGTTGTTAGAAGAATAAATATTAATACTAAGTAAAATTTGTCTAGAGTGAAAACAAAAACTTCTATTTTATATAGTAAAGTCATCAAAGATGCTCTAAAACTAAATTATCATAAATAATCCATTAAAAATGTTAACTACATTTTAACCTTTCTGAAAATGCAGTTTGAGAATGTCCAGCTTTATAGGAAATAACCACTTCAGAAGCCACTGTTTACCCTCTGCTGACTGGCATTTTTAAGAAATTCAATTCACCATAGCAACCTGTCTTAATACCAGCAGATAAGCACAGTCTATATTTAGAAATGATTGCTTTCCAGACAGCAATCCTGTCTTTCCTTCATATTTAATGTCATGATCCAAGGGACCAAAATATCACTTATAAGTGAGGCTACAAAACGATGACAAGTATACTTGGAGGAATAAAACATGTTTCAGAAATACCAAAAGAACTTTCCACCCAAACTAAAAAAATTTGTGAACATTTAAGCAAATACCATTTTTCGTTTTTCAGAAATATATATATGTAGATACAACTATTTTGTCTAATGTTTTCTCTTCAACATAAACTTTTCATTATTAATCACTTATGAATCATATTTCAAAATATATATGCATTAATAGAATGTTGTTTCTTGATCACTAGTGATGTATAACATTAAATATGTTCCTATTAGCAGGCTATTGTTTTTTATTTTTATTCCTTCAGTATCTGTATTTGAACTATAATCTACACAAGTATACATCTTTTATGTAAGGAATATGAGGAGTATTATACAAAATAGGAAAACTAAATTTATTAAATTATATAGTTACAAAATCACTATGACTTTATTTGTATTTTAATCTTGGTAGTGACAAAAAAGAGAATTTATGAGTTGGCTAAGATGGTCTTATACTGTCTGTTTTGAATACTACAGTTATAGTAGTCAAACATGGTAGACACTTTAAATACAATTTCTTGAAGAAACATTTTAAAGCCAATACTGAAGACAAAACGTGAAGAATTGGTGAACTTTGATGTAAAAATATCAGGAAAATGCCTCAGGATGTTGGATAATTACCTCATACCAAGAAGGATAGTAACTCAAACACACAATCATAATAATAGCAAAGATGTAAGTAAGTTGCTTTTGGTTTTTAATCATGTCTCTGTGTGGGGATACATGCATATATTGGGGAGACTAGTATACATTTCTAGTGAAAATGTAAAATAGAACAGTTTTTTTCGGGAAATAGTCTCATGTTTTCAAATGTTAAAAATAGAATACAATATAATTCAGCAATTCCACTCCTAGGTATATATCTAATCGAGGTAAATTTTAAATTCACATTCATCAGATCATTAGCCACAGAGGTCAAAAAGTAGAAGCTATCCCAGAGTCTATTGATAAAATAGATAAGCAAAAACAAGATTTATACATACAAAGTTTCCCACTTTAAATTAAAACTACTAACAGCCTGATAGCCTGTATTGTGAATTATACTTCTAGCATTATAGATTTGCCATAAATTTCCCATCAATTGAGCAATTATTCCTTAGTGTTAAACAATACATATCTATATCATAAGTAGTAAGTTTTTGAAAATACTTGGAAATTAAATGAGCCATACCATCTACTTCACACCCAACACTTAACAGCAGGATGAATAGCACCAATACTTTTCTATAGGTCTTTTCAATCTTTTTCTTTCCCCCAAGACAGAGTTTCTCTGTAGCATTGGAGCCTATCCTGGAACTAGCTCTTGTACACAAGGCTGGCCTCAAACTCATGGAGATCTGCAAGCCTCTGCTTCCCAAGTGCTGGGATTAAAATTGTGTGCCACCACTGCCTGGCGGTCTTTGAGTCTTAAACAACTTTTAACACTTAAAATTGAGTCTAAGTTATAAATTTGCTAGTTAGAAATAAGCAAAAAGAAATCTAAAACATGGGGCTGAAGAGATGGCTCAGCAGTTAAGAGCACTGGCTGCTCTTCCAGAGGACCTGAGGCCAAATTCCCAGCACAACATGGTGGTTCACAGCCATTTATGAATTCAGTCCCAGGGAATATGAAACCCTTTTCTGACCTCCGAACACGATGCACAAACATACATGCAGGCAAAACCTCATAAGCTAGAAACAAACAAACAAATGTTTTTGAATAGCAATAAAAGAAATTCAAAACACAAATGTGGTAACTTTTGTCTCGCCCATAGTACACAGTTAAAACTATTTTGAAAGTAAAGAGAATTAAGCTCTACAAAGAATGCAACTGGCTGGGCGGGGGTGATGCACACCTTTAACCCCAGCACTCTGGACACAAAGGCAGGCCAATTTCTGTGCTTATGAGGCCAGCCTAGTCTACAGAGTAAATTCCAGGACAGCCAGGACTGTTACATAGAGAAATCCTGTCTCAAAAAACCATTCAATTGACTATACCTTAAATACCTATCACAGTCATCTCTCCAGAAGAAACAGTTTAATTTTTTTGTAACTTAACATGTATTACTCTACTTAAAGAAGAAAAAAGTTAAATTATATCATAAGAAGAATAATTTCTTATATGATTGAAAATTATATGTATACAGATATAATATCAAACTAAACTTGATTAAGACTTTTCAATGCATTGAGATACGAAACTAAAAAGGTCTTATAACACAACAAAAATTGACATATTATATATATGTAAAGGATACAACCTTTCAATTTTCATTAGAAATAAAAAATAAGCTATTAAAATGGATATATATTTAGAAATTTAGTATGCATACAAACTGGCGATTCAAACAGCTAAAATGAGTGTTTAATTCTACTTGTTTTTGCACTTAACACCTACAGATGGAGATAGGCAAAAATCACTTAGAAAAAACAAGAGATTAGATACCACCTCAACTCAATCTTGACAAGTCAATTTTTACAAGTTGGTAAAAAGACAAAGTAATCCTACAAGATTTATGACTTTCTCATACTTCTTTTCTAACATGGCATCCCTCCTTAACTATGGTTCAAACAACAGCTTGTCCAGTGCACTGCATTTCACTAATTTGTGATAGTGAAATGGATGTAAAATTGTGGGACACATAGTATATAGATCTTGAAAATTACAGGATACCTATCACATAGTTATAGTATGAAATCGTCTATCTTGGTTTTGCCCTTCTGAAGCAATTTTTCAATAATATAAAATTTCAAAACTTAAGGAAATTATTAAATAGCAATATCATCCCAGAATATATGTTTATAAAAAAGGGGATGATCTGAAAAGCAAACAAAAGAAACAATTTAAAGAAGAGGGAGGAGCATGGTGGCAGATGCTTGTGATATATATAACACTGGGAGGAAGAGACAGGAGGATCATGACTTGGAAGCCAGCCAAGGCTACAGAATGAGTTCTAAACAAGACTGAGCTGAGATGATGTCTCAATAAACAAAAAAATAAAAAATACTGAAAGCTACAAAACTCTAAACATTCTATGGATTGCAGTGTTCTGATATGGAACATTAAGTGTGTGTGTACACACTTTTGTATATATAATATAGTTATTATGAATGTTTTATATTTCTAATTTTAAGAATAAATAATTACTGCAAAGATTTTCAAAGAAACTTAAACTTGATGTAAGTAAATTTATTCTCATCTCCCCCAAACAAATGTATTAGTCAGTAATTGCTTTGACCAATACCTACTGCTGTCACCAGTTACTAATGCTATGAAAGTCAATCTTTCAGGATGACAACCACTTCTTCTAATGTTTTTCCTTTTCATAAAAAGAAACTGCTCCATGAGACTTCACTAAATGTGACAAATTCTCAGAAAAAGTTTAAAATTAGCTGTTAAAAACTATTTTTAAGTTAATGCAAAAATAAAGTTTTAAATTATACTTAGTGATAAAAACAAGTACTCACAAAGAAGGATCTTGGACAAGATCTTTAAGATTTATCCCACTTCGGTCTTCTGCAAGATTCCTGAAGCAGCTATCACTCACTAAACAAGAAAAGGAGAAAGAAAACAAAATTAATTTTTATGTTTCACTATAGCTAGTACTGACCAAAAGTAATTTTTAAATGAAATTTATCCTTTATATTTCTTTTCTACATAGCAGCATTAAGTTTTTGTTTTTGCTTTTTTTTTTCCCCAGAGTTTCCCTGTGTGCTGTGGAGCCAGTCCTTGAACTCGCTCTGTTGACCAGGCTTGCCTTGAACTCACAGAGATCTGCCTGCCTCTACCTTCTGAGTGCTGCTGGGATTATAGGTGTGTGCCACCACCACCAGGCATATTAATGCTTTTTGAGGAGAAAAATATTAATGGTCAACAACAAGGCCAACATTTCAATAACAAGTAGCTAATTAAAATAAAATAACCGTATATAAATTTGATCTATAAAGCAATTAAAATGTGAAAATTTTGTTTCACTTCTAGAAGATTAATCTACTGATACATAATGGCAAGTCCCTGATCCCACAGTACAGAAAATAAGAGATTAACAACACTGCTACCCCTGCCATAACATTTGTTTGAAACAGTAGAGATCAATGAAAATAAAAGTATAAACTAAACTTGTAGAATGGTAATAGCTTCATAGGTAATTTCAGTCTGCTGATTGTTTGGATTTCTGGTAACATTTGCCATTTACATAGACTAAGATCAAAAGTGATTATTTGGAAAAAGAAAAATCACCATGGCTCTTGATATTTGCAGGCCAGCAGGCCAGACAAGAAACCAGCGAAGTTCAAAACAACAGTTTTGGAGGATAACTGGCTCCCACCTCCTGTTAATTTAGAATTAAAGAAAAAGAACTTTCATGCCCATGTTTACTATTCCACCCCATGGACACTACTTGTAAACAATAGCTTACAAGTATGAGATGGAACACAAAATATAAATAATGATCAAAATAAAAAAGAATACAAGACACTACAGATGATACAGAGTTTAAACACCTAAGAAAACTCTTTAATATGACAGATTCAATGTAATGCCCATCAAAATCCCAGCAAAATTCTTCACAGACCTCAACAGAACGGTACTCAAATTCATATGGAAAAGCATAAAACTCAGGATAGCCAAAACAATCCTGTACAATAAAAGAACTTCTGGAGGCATTACAATACCTGACTTCAAACTCTACTACAGAGCTACAGTACTGAAAACAGCCTGGTATTGGCATTAAGAACAGACAGAAGGACCAATGGAGCCGAATAGAAGACCCGGATATCAATCCACACATCTTTGAACACCTGATTTTTGACAAAGAAGCAAAAAATATCAAATGGAAAAAAACATATTTAACAAGTAGTGCTGGCATGACTGGATGTAAACATGTAGAAGAATGAAAATAGACCCATATCTATCACCATGCACAAACTCAAGTGCAAATGGATCAAAGACCTCAACATAAAGCCAGCCACACTGAACCTTATAGAAAAGAAAGTGGGAAATACACTTGAATGCATTGGCACAGGAGACCACTTCTTAAATATAACTCCAGAAGCACAGACACTGAGAGAAACAATTAATAAATGGGACCTCCGGAAACTGAAAAGCTTCGGTAAAGCAAAGGACAAAACCAACAAGACAAAACAACAGCTTACAGAATGGGAAAAGATCTTCACTGACCCCACATCAGACAGAGGTCTGATCTCTAAAATATACAAAGAGCTCAAGAAATTGGTCACCAAAAGAACAAACACATAATCCAATTTAAAAAATGGAATACAAAGAACTCTCAACAGAGGAATCTAAAATGGCTGAAAGACACCTAAGGAAATGTTCAACATCCTTAGTCATCAGAGAAATACAAATCAAAACAACTCTGAGATTCCATCTTACACCTGTAAGAATGGCCAAGATCAAAAACACTGATGACAACTTATGCTGGACTACATGGACATGTGGAGAAAAGGGAACACTTCTGCATTGCTGGTGGGAATGCAAGCTGGTACAGCCACTTTGGATGTCAGTGTGGCGATTTCTCAGAAAATTAGAAAACAACCTTCCTCAAGACCCAGTAATACCACTTTTGGGTATATATCCCAAGGATGCTCAATCGTGCCACAAAGACATGTGCTCAACTATGTTCATAGCAGCTTTGTTTGTCATAGCCAGAACCTGGAAACAACCTAAATGCCCCTTGACCAAGAATGGATAAGGAAAATGTGGTACATTTACACAATGGAGTACTACTCAGCAGAACAAATAATGACATCTTGAATTTTGCAGGAAAATGGATGGAGCTAGAAAACATTATTTTGAGTGAGGTAACCCAGACATAGAAAGACAATTATCACATTTACTCACTCATAGGTGGTTTTTAAACATAAAGCAAAGAAAACCAGCCTGCAAACCACAATCCCAGAGAACGTAGACAACAACGAGGACACTAAGAGAGACTTACATAGATCTAATCTACATGGGAAGTAGAAAATAGAAAAAGACAAGATCTCCTGAGTAAACTGGAAGCATGGGGACATTGGGGGAGGGTTAGAGGAGGAGGGGAGAAGTAGGCAAAGGAGCAGAGAAAAATGTAGAGCTCAATAAAAATCAATAAAAAATTATTTAACATGAGGTAAAGAAAAATCCTTAACAATAGTCTAAAGAGGAATAGTTAACAAAGAATAAAATCTACCAAAGAGAATTAGATAATTTTAGAAATGATATGTATAAAATGTGAAATTATGAAGCTCGCAGGTTAATATCCAACTCAACAGAGCAAAATCTTTAACTTAAGAATTGAATTGAACTTAAAGAAAAGTCAGCTGACAAATGCCTAAAATTAGAAAAAAAACAAGAGTATAAACTATATAGAAATCAAACAATGAGACATATAAACAGGAGAGAATGGAAGAAAAAACAATACTTTTAAGAAGAATAAAAACTTCTGGAAATACCTAAAAATTGATTTAAAAAAAAAAAGGCTAAATAGACTTAGAAAGAATAGCAAACGCCACACTAAAAAAGTAAAAGATTTACAATGAAGGGTAAAAATGTTGTAGGGATGTGATGGGATGATCAAGGGGTATTTCTTAATCACAAAAGAAAAGGGTAGCTTTGCAATGAAGAAATTAGATAAACAACATCTTGCTTATTTGTTTGTTTTGTTGCTGTTTTTCAAGACAGGGTTTCTCTGTGTCACGCTTGCCGTTCTGGAACTTTATTAAACCAGGCTGATCTCAAACTCAAGAAATTCGCCTCCTGAGTTCTGGAACTAAAAGGAGCGTGCCATCACCACCTGGCCGATAAACAACATTTTAAAAAAGTTATTTAAATCAGGTGTGCACCATTATGCATAGTTATATTTTTTTCAAACATCCCATTTTAACTGTGGTAAGATGATACTTCATTTGCATTTCTATGTGATTCATAGTACTGAGCATTTTCCATGAATTTGTTGGTATTACTATTTTCTCCTGAGAAATGCCTATTCATATTATTTGTCCATCTTTTATAGTTATTAGTTTTATATGGGTTGGATGGGCACATGTCATGGCACATATGAGCAGATCAAAGAATAACTTGCCGGAATAGGTTCTCTTCTTTCACTATGTAGGTTCTAAAAATCAAACTCAGGTCATCAGACATGGTAGTAAATGCCTTTGTGCACTGAGGCATCTCTAAGGCCCATCTCACTGGTTCGTTGTTAAACTGATTATCCCAGGGAGATGCCATCGTAATGTTAAGTACCTTTTATATTCAAAATATTTTCTAGATAATTAAAAATAATTACTATATTAAAATATCAAATTGGGTGAGTCACAGACATTTATACAATTTAACATCTTCGAGTGTGTATATCTGTGTGGTATATGCATGTTTATATGTACATGTATACACACACACACTCACACACACATTTAGAGGCAAAAGGTCAATATATGTGTCTTCCTTAAACACTCTCCACTCTACCTTTTAAGAAAGGGTCTCTACTGAACTTGGAGCTCACCAGTTCAACTAGATTAGACTAGTGGGCAAGCATTGCCTCCAAGGAGCTGGAATTATAGGCTCAAGTAATCATGGCTTGCTTTTTAAGTGGGCGCCTGCGGATACAAATGCAGGTTCTCATTCATGTGCAGAAAGCACCAACTGTTTTGGGGTACTACTACTATGACAAAACACCATGACAAAAAGCAACCTGGGGAGGAAAGGGTTTATTTCAGTTTACAGTTCCACAACAGAGTCCATCTCAGAGAAATCAGGGCAGGAGCTTTGAAGCAAGAGCTAATGTAGGGACCATGAAGCTACTTCCCAAGGCTTGCTTAGCCTGAACAGGCACTGCCCACAATGAGCTGACCTCCCCCCCTTACATCATTAAACAACGATATGCACCACAGGCTTGCCCACAGGCCAAAATGGTTGGGTAATTTTCTCATTTAGGCTCCCTCGTCCCAAATGATTCTAGCTTTTGTCAAGTTGGCATTAAACTAGGCAGTACCATCTGTTTGTGCCATCAAACTAGACCCAGTATTTTGTTTTGTTTTGTTTTTATTTTTGTTTTTCGGGACAGGGTTTCTCTGTAGCTTGGAACCTGTCCTGGAACTGGCTCTTGTAGACAAGGTTGTCCTCAAACTCACAGAGATCTGTCTACCTCTGCCTCCTGAGTGCTGGGATTAAAGGCATGCGCCACCATGGCCCGGCTCAGACCCAGTATTGTTAATCCATAAAAAAGTATTTCTAGATTAATTTTAATTGTGCTAGTGTCTCTGGAAATTTTTCTTATATTCTGTAGGTTGTCTCTCACTTCATCATTTACTTGAAATTTTTTTTTAGCCTGATGTTATACCATCTGGCAATTTTTGCTTTTGTTTCATGTACTTTGGGAGTCCCATGCAGGAAATAACTCCCTGTTCAAATATTTTAAAGTGTTTTCCCTGTTTTCTTCCAAAGATTCCAGCATTTTGAGTCTTATATGAAGACCTTTAATCCACCTTGCTAGACATTGCACAAGGTGAAAGATGGGTCAAGTTTCACGTGTGTGGCTATCCAGTTTC